CAGACTAGCATCACAGTTAAGTTTCCAACATTTAAAAAATAGGTTTTCTTAGATCGAGCATGTTCTGGAATCCCCTGGGCCATTCTTGATGTATTCCTGATTCACTTAGTCTAGCACCAGCAAAAGATACACGAGAGGTTTAGTGAAATTTGATAAATATTTGTTATACCATACTTGGGCAGAGTAGTACAGAGGTGAAATGTACTTTCTGTCCTTAAAGAATTCTTAGTGTAAAGGGGGAGAGTACCCATGCTGAAAGCAGTGGTGTTTAGAGAGGGTACCGGGAGGAGCACCCCACTCAGTCAGGATGGTTGGGTCTGAGTGAGTCATCTCTGGTCCAGTTCTGTTATCTTGGTCTGTCTGGGGGCGCAGGCCTTGCCAATGGTGCTCAGAGTTACCAGGCCTGTCTGTGGCATTGCTGGGGATGGGGGCGAGACATCTAGTGGTGAAGATGGAACCCCAGGCTGGATCCATGCCAGGCATGTGCTCTGGGCCTTTTTTGCTATCTCCTTTGTCCCAGTTCCAGTTTGCAAGATCTAGCAGTTAACCAAACAGGAGATGAGAAGCATATCACAAGAAGAACTTGGAGAAATGCTGTTGTAATAATGGAAGCTGCTTGTTATTAGGGCCAGAAGTTTAAAAAAAAAAGTTCGGGGAGAAATAGAGGATCACATATTCTTGAGATCCTAGTTAAATAAACAGGATGTGCATAAAATTTAGATTCCTGTCATTCCATCTCACTCACTTAGTCACTGGGTCATAGGCATACTGTTTTTGACATTTGTTAAACGTACCAAATCCTTCCTGAGCTGGAATTCTGCAGTGGGTTGGTTATATCCCGTTACCTAGATAGTTGGACATCTTCTCCTTCCAACCCCAAGATTATGGAAAGGCTGACTCATCTGCATTATTTCTCTGGACTAGCTGTGAGTGTAGCCTTAGTCTCAAAAAGTATTCCCATATATGTAAGTAGATGAATGGTAGTGTTCTGGAATAGAACTGAGCCAGTTATATAGATGGGCACCTTTCAGTTAAAAGAAAATACGGCTTTTATTGTAAATACAGCTTCAGTCAAACCTAATGTCAAGACCAGTTAATCAAAGAAGAAAGCTTATCTACTATTTCAAAGTGTCTTGTCTTATAATAGTTTCAGTCAAAATTCTAAATTTTCTGAACACTACCTTTCTAACTAGGACACCTTTAAAAATGAGGTTCTCGGATCTGAGATAGTCTAGTGGGAAGGAGTTTGCTTTGCATGAGGCTGACCTGGGTTTGATCCTCGGCATCACATAATGGTCCTCCAAGTCCTGTGCAGAGTAAGCCCTGAACACTGCTAGGTGTGACCCCAAAAGCAAAAACAAAAGCCAGGAGCATGGATAGCAACCAGTATAATTCAAACGAGTTTTACTTAAATCCTATTTAAAGTAATGGTATAAAAATGAATTACCTCTAGACCTTATTTATAACTTCAGTAGATTCTCAATAAGAAAGACAGGATGTGAGGGCGATCTGGCTATGACATCTCTCACTTCACGGGTCACCAGGGTTGATTTGGCTAATCTGGCTGGTTGGAGGAGTTTCCTGTTCCCCACTCACCTCTCCTTGTGCCTCCCTACTGGAACTTCATGCGGGGTGGAAGAGAACAGGGACTGACCGATCTTCAGTCTAGCATCGCCTGAGGGGCCCCTTCCCCTAAAGAAATGATTCATATACCTTAGCACTTTCAAAGGATTCCAGATGCCAACACAAACTTTGTCATTTTACAATTTTTATAGTCTGGTGTTAAAATGTTGAGCTGCGTTTCTCATTGCATTTATGACTCATTTCATTAATATTTCATCTGTGAGACCTGGGACATTAGGAAAAATTGTATCCCATGGGGTCAGGTTATTTCTGCCTGCCTCACTTGGATGCATTTTTTTTAAAAAAATTCTTAATCTTCACAGCTATCTAGTAAACTGGACACCTGCCGGTAGTACATACCTAGAACCTCTAAGGATGCTTTCAAGAAAAAATCTTTTGTATTTTCTCTTCATAGTTTTCATATTACCTTTTACAAATTTTAGTTATATATAAAAACACACACTATACTGTTCTTGAAAAATTACATGTGAAGTACCTCGTCCAAGCCTTTCACAGTGTAAGATTTTAAATGTTGGATAATTTGCCCTTCTTCCTCATACTTTATATTTAGTTGCATTGCACTGTATTTAGTCTATTACAAAGTAGGAGAGAGAGCAATAATATTACATTTATTCATAACATTTGATAAGAAGTGAAAAAAAAGTAAGTATACTTTTCTGAACATGGACACAGCAATGCCGATATTGCAAAAGATTGAAATAGTCAATGTGTAGTTAAATTACACTTATGATTCTGGTTACTGTAGCGTAACTGTGAAAATAAGAATGCCCAAATCACTCTGATGGTGAGAAATTTGTATGATATTTGTGTTAAAATAAGATTGAGAATAGTGTGACATGGCATTTCTGTGAATTCATTTATAGACTTATAAGGTACACTGTTTTGGACACAGCATCAAGTATAATGGACTAAACTTCTTGCCTTTTCATGAGAAATAAATTAGCTAAATAATAAAAGGTAAAGGCCCTCCCGTTGATCGTCGATTTGCTCGAGTGGGCCCAGTAATGTCTCCATTGGAGACTTTGTTGTTACTGTGTTTGGCATATCGAATACTCTCGGTAGCTTGCCAGGCTCTCCGAGAGGGGCGGAGGAATCGAACTCGGGTTGGCCATGTTGGCCGCTTGTAAGGCAGCCCTACCGCTGTGCTATCGCTCCAGCCCATATGGCCATATGGTCATATAGTAGCCCTATTTTAATTTATTGAGGATAAATAATAATAAATAATAAAAAATCTAAATAAATTAGCTGTAAGCTATAAAGAAAATAATCAAGAAAGAAAAACAGAATATATGCGACTGCAGTTTCAAACAAGAAAGTACTATTCACAAAAGAAAATTACTATTCATACAAGCATACATATTTGTAATTTCAGTATTTTAAATTGTGTAAATATTATAGCTGGTATGGTTAAAAATATTTAAAAATATCAGTCACTTGACTAATATTTATATTTACGTATCATTTGGAAGTTATATTGCTGTTACTCTGAAATAAGATATAATGGATTTTAGTCATTTTTAGATAAAATTCTTTTTATAAGCTTTAATGTTTCCATGCATGACAATAAGGAAAATTTTCATAATGAGTGATGACTTTAATGATACTAATATCCCCACTATTTCATAATAATAATAGATAATAGTTATAGATAATAGTTAATTCTTACTATCTATACTATGTGCCAGGTAGTTATTCCACTTTTTTGTATAATTTACTCTCAGTAGTTAAATATACCACAATATCTGTATTTTATATAGTTACAGAAACTAGAGAGGCACAGAAAAACTTGTCCAAGATTACACAGAGACTAAATCCAGAACTGAGATTTAAATGTAGGGATTTTTGTTTCAGAACTAGCACTTTCAACCATTTTGTATTACTAAAGTCTGTACTGGATGTGAATGCTTTAAAATTAGGTGGGATTTACCATGCAAAAATATAGTTAGAGTGCAGTTTTTGAAAATAGCTCCAGATAAATCATCAGACTTAATAATGACGAATGACATTGTAAAACTAAGTCAAAGAGGCGAGCTGGCAGCACATGGGAGCTGTGTAAAGTGATTTAAATGACTTTTCATAATATTCTTAATAAACCAAAGACAGGAGGACAGTGTGTATCCAGTACTATTCTTTTATTTTCTATTTAATTTTTATTTTATCCCCCCCCCCACTTTATTTAACACCATGGTCGATAAAGTTCTTCTCTGTGATTTGTTATAGGCATTCAATATTCCAAACACCAATCCCACTAGGACCTTCCCTGTACCATTGTCTCCATTTTTACATTTTTCCCAACTATCCACCTCTCAGACCGGCCCCTATACAGGCCCATGATAATTTTATATTGCTTGTTCCCACTGAATGGCTAGTAAAATCACCAAAAAATTATTAGAGTTAAAGAAAATCTATGAAAACTGTTGAATCTTACCATGGGGACATTAGTCCTTGTCATCCAGCTTACCAAGCTGTTGTTATTCGTTATTTGTTGAGCCTTCTGTGTGGACGGTTTTGTAGTTGGGTTTAGTTGACTCAGAGTGACACGCCCATCGAATCTGGTGTGCTCCCACTGGGATGTTTGTATTGTAGAGTTTAGAGATGTTGCTGCAGAAAATCCAGAATATTTATCTGGGCATTGAGCTTACATGAAGTTTTCTGTAGGATAGCATCTCTGGAGCCCAGTTGTGAGTTGGTGGAGTCTGGCTTGAAGCATGGCAGCAGATGTTGGGGTGTGTGTGCTTCGGTAGGGTGGGAAACTTGGCCCGCCTCCCTTCCGGGATATCCCTAGAGGTCTCAGCCAAACAGAGGTATGGGAGAGATTTTTGCAGCTAGTTGATCTCTTTTGAGATTCAGTTACGAATCTCTGGAACAGGACTGGTAGTTGAACTTGCATCACGGTGGCTTTGGGATGTGGGTCTCTAGTACAGTTCTTGATATACCCATAAAACGTTAATTATAGACAATGGATGCCTTTGAGCATCAACATTCTCTCTTGAAAGATATGTTGGAAAAATATGGTTTCTAGGATTAAATTACAGGCAGTGTTCAAGAGACTTTTCAGCAGAAACAGAATTTTTTTTATGAATATAGGAGGAGGAGAAAGAAAAAGATTTAAGGACCGAGGGGAGGTATAGATTCCGATGTGGGCAGTATTCATACTTTCTATAAGTTAACTTTCAGGAGTGCATTTCAGTCTTTTCATATGCATTTGAAAGATTCTCATGTGAGTATTCAATTAAATCATCCATAAAGGTGTTAGAATTTAAATATAGCTTGACTAAACAAAAATATGACATAACAAGAAAATAATTCGTCTCTGTTATGCTATTTATAATCCTACGTATGTGTTTTATTTCCAGGGAACCTTTTATTATTTTATCAGGAGGTTTATCCTATGATACTGTTGGAAGAAGACCTTGCTTAACAGTTATGCATGGGAAAAGTACTGCTGTGCTAGAAATGGACTATTCAATTGTTGACTTTTTGACTCTTTGTGAAACACCATACCCCAATGGTAAGCTTCATATCGTTAAAACTGATTCCGTACAGTTCCTTGTCATTCGCGATAGAGACCTGCAAATTGTCTAAGTAATTTGCTTATCCTGTTTTGCTGCTTTTATTATTTTCTTGTAGAGGTTAATTTTTTTAATAAGCTTTTGTCTGTTGAGCATTTGATATAATAGTGCCTTTGGAGTATAAAACTACCTGTATATGAAACATTTTTAAATAACAGAATATTAGTAAATTAGAACCTCTAGAGAGACAGAAGCAGTAACTAAATAGATGGGTGGAAAAATAGAAGTAATGTCTATGCATAAAATGTGATACAGAATTTATTTTAAGGAATGAAATGACAATTGTGGAGGCTAGTAGTTCTGAATTTTATAGAGCAGACTCTCAGACAGATTATGCTGAAAAGAGTTGATGTCACATTCAAGTTGAATTCTTTGGACTGAAAACTTGAACAGTTTTCTGTGTTGCAGTCTCAGGTGGAAATTATTTGTTTTTTTAGAAAAGCCCAATCTTTAGCTTCTGATACCAACAACTGATTAGATGAGACACACATTATATAGGCTATTTGCTTTACTTAAAATTCACTGATAAAATTGTCAGTCCCTTCTAAAAGTGACCTTAAATGTAACATCTTTATGGTATCTAAACAGTTGGGCACCATAGTAATCATGTTTAACACATTGAATTTACCATCACAACTATCTAATGTAATTTAAAATATATCATTTTCAGAGAAATTTAAGTCAGGGCTTATTTTTTTAATTTGAAGTTCTTTGAGATGGAAAGATGTAATATGGTTTGTCGATTCCAGGTCCCATCTAAATAATCAAGAGAGAGTAGTACTATAGTGTTTTTTATTAGATTTCTATGAGATACAATAATAAAATTGGTTCTTATGAGTATTGAAATTTAAATTTGAGGTTTTGGTGACTATTCCCTTGCCTTTAATTATAATACTATTGCAGTTTTTTGAGCTTCCTATCTTTATTTAAAACTGAAGTAATTTTCTATGGTTCTTCGTATAGATTAATCTGATTTAAAACCTATTAGCTGCCAGTTGTATGTAGTGCAAGATCAGAATGTAAAATGCTTAGAGAAAGCCAAATAAAAGAAAAACCAAGCAAAAAATAATTATCTGATTTGCTCTCCCTTTGCATTTTTAAAACTACTGCTTATGCATTATTTTTTTCCATTCCAGATTTTCAAGAACCATATGCTGTTGTTGTTCTTCTAGAAAAGGATTTAGTACTTATAGACCTTGCACAAAATGGGTAAGACGATACGCTGAACAATTAATTCAGTTTATGGCAAAAGATTTCTTTTATTGCAGAGCTTTATGCAGTGGCACAAGACTATAGCCAGTGAGGCTTATCTGAGGCAGGATTATTGCTAATTGGAAACTTTTAGCATAGGATTGGCTGTTTCATTTTTTGAGCAATCTGTGCTCATTTCCTTAACCTTGACCTGTTTAGAGCTCTAGATAAGCACTTCTTCTTACCTGTCAAATTTCTTGTTATTTTTCCGGGCATGTTCATTGAGACACCATGATTTACAAAGTTGCTTATAATAGAGTTGTTTCAGGCATACAGTGTTTCAATAACAATCTGACCACAACATCCCTTCCCTCCACCAATATCCCCAAGTTCCCTTCTTACCACCAGCCTGCCTCATTGGCAGGCATAGTACAAACTTAACTTAAAGGAATGGCAAATAGAATGATCAGAAAATAAGTCAATAGAAATCAGTTTGTGATAATGAGTTGCTCTGCGTTTTGCCTTTCTGATTCTAGTTGAGGAAAAGTATATGTATCACTTGTGAGCGCCATACTCAGTGCCACCTGATGGAAGTTTCTCAACTTTTAAAGGAGCTCTTTCAATGCTTCTTGCAAAATCCGTTTCAGGGCTAGCAATTCCCTGAGCCTGTCTGTGACTCTCTGTATCACTTCCTTCAATTGTGAATGATAATCGAGCTGAAGAGTATTCTTGCTGGGGTATTCATTTTGTTGAGTTTTTGTACTATATTCATCTCTACTCTTCTGCTTTGCAAAGTTTCATTTGATAGATCTTATCAACTAGCAAATGAACTTAAGTCCATCTTATGAACATGATATTGTACATCTTCTGGACTTTTCCTGTTGTACATCTTCTGGACTTTTCCTGTGGACTTTTCCTTTTTTGGATCTTACTGCTTTCAGTATTCCAGCTATATCTTGGAACTTGTCACTTTGAGTACAGACTGTCTTGGAGTTTTCTTAGTTCAATCTATTTTTGATGGTCTCCTTTGGCCCCTGAGATCTTAGTCCCTGCAGTCCCCAATTCTGGCAAGTTCTGACTGATGTTTGTTGGTTGGTTGGTTGGTTGGTTTTGTTTTTTGGCTCACACCCAGCGATGTACGGGGTTACTCCTGGCTCATGCACTCAGGAATTACTCCTGGCGGTGCTTGGGGGACCTATATGGGATGCTGGGAATTGAATCCGGGTAGACTACCTGCAAGGCAAACACCCTACCCGCTGAGCTATAGCTCCAGCCCCCGATGTTTTCTTTAGCTTTTGTTTCTTCAAGTTTGCTTCCAGTGATTCTTACATTGTTGCTTTTGAACCCTTTCCCTAGTTCCCGGGTAGCTGCTCTTTTCTTTTCAGACTGTTTCCCACCTTCTGCTGTTTCCTAGTGCCTTCCTCCTTCTCATCTCGGAGCTGGTTGATCTTTGGCTTAGCTTCTGTTATTCAGAGCTTCTTTGACTTTTTAATATCACCTACCACGGGCTTCATTTCTCAGTATAGTAGTTTTTTTTTTCATTTCGAGTTTATTCTTCCTTGCGCTAACTCACTGAGCGTCTTCATTATAGCATCACTGAGGACTCAGTGAGGATTTATTGGTGTTGTTTATGTCTTCAATACTACCATTTCCCGTCTTTGTAGTTAACCCTCATAGAAAATGCTGCCGGTTTCTTTCAGACTCTTTCCACCCACATTGTGTTCTTGTGAGGGGTACTGTCATCAGATTCATTTACACGCGCTGCTAATATTTTACTCTTTAAAACCACTATGTTTTTCCATGGTGTCTGTTTAAAAACACCTTCCCTTCTACTTTTCACCATGGACATTCAGGGTACTTTCTTTTCACAGGTGCCTTTTGTCCTTTTCAAAATATTAACCATGTCAAACAAGCATTGTATTTCCAAGTCTTCTCCGATATTTATTTCTTTGCTGTAAAAAAATTTTATATAACCTTTTTGTTTTTTTCATTTTTGTTTTGTTATTTTTTTTGGTTTTATTTTTGGGCCACCCAGCATTGCTCAGCAGTGCTCATGGCCTGCTTCTGGCTTTGTCTCCGGGATTTAGTCCTGCCTCGCAGGGCTCAGGGAATCATAAGTGATGTCTGGGTTGGCAGCATGCAAGACAAGGACTCCCTCCACCCGCTGTGTCCTCTCCCCAGCCGTCCACATAACTTTAAAAGTCAATCTCCTTTTCCTATGTGATATTTCCTTATTCTTTCATATCATGTCTGATATGAAAATCTTTAGACCGTAGCTTCCCTGCAACTTTTTTTTGTATTACTTGCCAGCTTCTACTTCTTCTATCATAGAAATTCTTGGAATAAAAGAACATTCTACTACTTACATGTATCACCTGAGATGTTCTCATTAAAGGTGGTTTTAACGTTTAGTGTTTCTCAGGTGAGGACTATTTCTGCCCCAACCCTCCTCCCCCTCTCCCCCGCAAAAAGAGATTTTTGATAACATTTGTGCTGTTTTTATTGAGCGGAATGGTGGTGCTGGCATCTAGTGGTAGAATGCAGGCATGGCATGCTACAAAACATCTGCAAGGCAGAGTGACAAACCACTGAATATTAATAATATCGAGATGGGAAACCCTAAAGTATACAGGAACAGTATCATGTACCTTATTATAAGTCATTATTTACACAGGTTTAATACTTGCTACCTTTAACAATCACTTGGTCTTAATGTATGTGTATAAATCAAAAAAAAATTTCCAAAGACATTTAATGGTCACATTAGAATACTTTATTCTTAATATGTCAACCTTTTAAATAGTGAGACTTTTCACATGTGGTTTATTGCTGACATCTACTTAATAAAAGAAAATACTGTGTAGGGGACAGCGATATGATTTAGTGAGTAGAGCAGTTACCTTACAAGAGATAGACAGAGACAGATACACAGAGAGAGGATGAGAGGACATGAAACTGTGTCAAGGAGTTTTGAGATAAGTTTATGATTTTAATCATCGTAATTAAATGTATAGCAATTGTCGCATTGGTGAAGTAATTGATATCAAGAGAGAAAATTTGTCTGGTTTTTAATGTACATTATGAGTTTTTTCTTCCATCTGTTAAAATGTATAGCTGAAAATGAAGTGGGTTCAATTTGAGGTCTTTTAAAAATACTTCTAAAGTTTTTCTCCTCTAAGTTTTTTTGGGGGCCCATCCCCCTGCTACCCAGTTTCTACTCTGGAAGTGAGGTTTTGGGAGTCCACAAGATCAGAGCTGTGGATTAAAAAGGAACGTCCTGTGTGCATACCACGTGTTCCTGTCTGAGCTATCTCTGTGACCCTCCTCTAATTTTTCAATTACTAGCAGCAGTAGATGGATTAATGCATCCTATATTTGCAAGGTGGTCATCTAGGTTTTTCAGATCTTTTCAACTAGTTTCTCATTTTCCATATATTACTAAGTCACCATTCTCAATTCTGAGAGCATTAATACCAGAAAAGAAATAGTATTATATATTTTGGTAGGATTTTACTTTAATCTTTAGATTTTTCAAAACAATTTTTTTGCTTTAATAATATAATATCTATAAAAGGTATATGCTTGAATTTTATGTAGCTTATCACTACAATAAAGTAGAAGTTTTAGATTAAATGCTGCAATAAGCATTCAGTTGATGGAGAGACAAGGAGAATTAAATTTGTGTTAGATTTAGTAATACAAATATGAGGCACTTATTAATTGGGAGCCTTGAAGCTTAGTGGTTAAAATTCTTCTCCTATTTGCTGACTGTTAGTGTGTTTCACACATTGCTTCCTCTACGTTTTTTGAAATTTTCATTAGAAGAACTATATCATAAATTTGGTGCAAGATGTAAGCATGTAGGTCCAGTATGTGATACATGATATGTAGCTTCAACTGTGACTTAAAAAAAAAATTCTATTAGTTTGAGGTTTTTTGAATTGCAACACTGGTCATTGATGATGGTTTCCTATGCACATAGTTCCAATACCATACCCATCACCAGCATACCCACACCCCAAGGACAGCAGAGCCCCTCCCTTTCCATTGCTTGCTATCTCACTGTGTATCTTTAAGCTGCACCCAAAAGAAAGATCATTCTGCATCTGTCCCTTTCTTTCTGACTGACTCAGCATTAATTCCATCCATTCTTCTCAACTTTTCTATATGATACTCTTCGCTGGGTAACTTTCGGTATAAAAGGTGCCATTACAATGCATAAATTAACTCTGCTAAAAATACAGTGCAGGCCGAAGAGGTAGTGCAGAATACGAGCCACTTGTTTTGCATGTGGCTGAAAGAGGTTCTATCTTCAGCACCCCTGACCATAGCCAGGTGTGGCCCTCCCAAAAAATAAATAAAGTGCATGTAATTTAAATTGGAATGCGGAATGTATGTAATTGCAAAAACAATTCCGAGGAGATCATGCTGCCCTAAAAGTTAAAATACAAATTCAGAAAATATGTCATGTGATTCTTTCAAAGACTTGACTTTAAATTAATCAACTTAAATTTGCGTTCTTATAGTCTGGCTTATTCACTTTTTTCTTCTATTAATCAGATGATAGTTCATTAAATTAAACTGATAACTATTTCTCTTTTCTCCTTATTGTAGATATCCTATATTTGAAAATCCCTACCCTTTGACTATACATGAATCTCCTGTTACGTGTTGTGAATATTTTGCTGATTGTCCTGTGGACCTTATTCCTGCACTTTATTCTGTTGGAGCTAGACAGAAGCGTCAAGGTTATAGCAAAAAGGTACTGAATATGGTATTTACTATTTAATGTTACCGTTAAGGGTGTTTTTGTTGTTCATTACTGTGGAGTAATGGAGTGTTTGATAACCATTTTTGGAAAAAGAATATTTTGTTTTACTGTTTTCAATAATAGATAAGTAGCATGGTATGCTGAACGTTGTTTTACATAATAATCTTTTCTTACAGGAGTGGCCCATCAATGGAGGTAATTGGGGTTTGGGTGCTCAAAGTTACCCAGAAATAATTATTACAGGGTAAGTACATCTGTTTTTACTAAAGAAATCAGTTATATAAATGTAGTATGACTATATGAACATTAATTGTACAGACAGTACTTTCCTTATGCCATATCAATAAAAACTAAATTAATTTCAAGAATCTGACAATATCCCTTAATTTTTCTTCATTTCTGGAGATTGAATTATCCCAATAAATAGCAATATGTTTTATAAATAGAAAAATCGTTTGTTTTCTTTATCATCTCCTTAACTCATTTAATTTTCTTAGGCATGCCGATGGGTCAGTTAAGTTCTGGGACGCTTCTGCAAGTAAGTAGTCTGAATAGTATTTGTGAATGTTATATAACCGCTCTTTTAATGCGAACCTATTTTGTAATAATTTCAGAGCCAACCTTTAATTTCAAAATTGGGGGATATAAATTTAATATCAGATTATTAAGCAGCTAGGTTTAGAATTTTTAATAGATGAAAGATATTCTTCTTCTTTTTAAATTTATTTTTTGTATTTGAAGCATGGGGCAATGTTTAGGAACGACTCCAGGCATGTTGCATGGGGTTGCTTCCAGCTGTGCTCCGAGGCTGATGTGGTCCAAGGAATGAAACCCGGGCCTCCTGCTTGCAAAGTTTTCCCAGGAGCCTGTGGCATTATCTTCGCCACCTGATTTCTCACTCTTTTAATATCTTGAAGATATTTTTAAGATTTCCTAATATCATAAGGATTTTCTTGCTATCCGTAAGTAAATCTTATAATCCCCAGTGGAACTACTGAAATTATTTCTTCCTTTTTTTTTTTTTTTTTTTTTGCTTTTTGGGTCACACCTGGCGATGCACAGAGCATACTCCTGGCTCTGCACTCAGGAATTACTCCTGGCGGTGTTCAGGGGACCATATAGGATGCTGGGAATCGAACCCGGGTCGTCCGCATGTGAGGCAATCGCCCTACCCACTGTGCTATTGTTCCAGCCCTATTTCTTCATTTTTTTTTGAAACTTTCTTATGTAATTTAGAAATACGAGTAATAGGAGTGTATTCCAAATCTATAGAAATCTTTATAATAGTTTCATTATTTTTTAATTTTTTATTAAACCATCCTCTGCTACCAGGGCTGGAGCGATAGCACAGTGGGTAGGGCGTCTGCCTTGCACGCAGCCAACATGGCCGACCCGAGTTCGATTCTCCGCCCCTCTCGGAGAGCCCGGCAAGCTACCGAGAGTATTCGATATGCCAGACACAGTAACAACAAAGTCTCCAATGGAGACGTTACTGGGCCCGCTCGAGCAAATCGACGATCAACGGGAGGGCCTTTACTTACTTACTTACTTACTTATTTTTAATTTTATTTATTTTGCTTTTTGGGTCACACCAGGGGTGCTCAGGGGTTACTCCTAGTCTGCACTCAGGAATTACTCCTGGCGGTACTTGGGTAACTGTATGGGAAGCTGGAATTGAACCCCAGTTGGCTGCATACAAGGCAGATGCCCTACCTGCTGTGCTGTTGCTCCAGTCGCTCTATAATAATTTTAATGTCTGACTTTACACCTGTTTCACAAGGTTTATTTTTTCTCTGTGAAATAATATGTGGTGGTTACATGGTAGAATGAAAGGAAAGAATGTTTTGAATAACTTTTTGCAAACCTACAGAGCAAGCATTCAGTCTGAATCCAATTGTCTCAGGGTAGAGAATGTTTTCCTTATGCAAAAATGTTAGAAAATTTTCTGCCTTTGATAGAGAAAGCACAGAAAACTATTTTTAAGCAAGACTATTTTATTATAACTCTAGATTTTATTCTAAAATATTTTTGTTACTCATTTTTTCAAATTATCCAAATTTGGCATGATGGTGATTTTTTAATGAATTATCAAAATGCATAAGAGAATGTAGACTTAGTACTGAAAATAATAATTTAAATAAATATAGACTATTTTCCTTACATAGTATTACTGTTTAATATTGACTTTTACCTTGTATCAAAATATCTAACATTTTTCTCCTAGTAACCCTACAAGTATTATATAAACTAAAGACATCTAAAGTATTTGAAAAGTCAAGAAATAAAGATGACAGGCCCAACACAGACATCGTGGATGAGGATCCGTATGCCATCCAGATCATCTCCTGGTGTCCCGAGAGTAGGATGCTGTGTATAGCTGGGGTTTCAGCTCATGTCATCATTTATAAGTTCAGCAAACAGGAAGTGATAACAGAAGTCATTCCGGTAATAATTCTTAAATTATTTTGGTGCTAGAGATCTCAACATTTCAAAGAGTATGAATTATTTTAGAAAACAATTCACGGTGAGTTCTGTTCTGAAATTTTGAAAACACCTCAGTGTGTTTCAGTGAAGTTTTAAAACACCTCAGTATCAGAGTGACTTATTTTGTATCCAAGTGACTTATTTTTATGCATGTCTTTGTATTGAGCTAAATTTAAATCCTTGACTATGTTGTCTGCATCCATAGTGGAAGCTTAATATAAGCATGGACATTTTGTATGTGATACGAACAAATATTCCATAAATCTTAAAATATGCTCAAGTATGTGTGTGTATATTTATAGACATATGGATGCACATTCAAGAAATTGTGCCAGGAACGTTTCTCTCTCCCCCCCCCCCCCCCCTTGGCTCCATAAGAACTTTTTCTAAAGTTTCCCAATTAGAAACGTTCTTTCTACTGAAGCATATGTGTGTTATATGTCTAAGCTGAGCAGTAAGAACTCGAAGTAATAACTGTTTTTGCAACAGATGCTTGAGGTTCGATTGTTATATGAAATCAGTGACGTGGAGACCCCCGAGAGTGAGCAGGCACCACCTCTGCCAACACCGGTCAGCGGTTCCAATCCTCAGCCCCCTCCTCCTCAGTCTCACCCATCTACGAGTAGCAGTTCATCTGATGGGCATCGTGATAATGTCCCTTGCCTAAGGTTAGTGATAAAAAGCTCCAGGTGTTTTGGATCTTGACATTTTCTTCAGATCAGCATAAGCATTTGAAAAACCATAGTGAAAAAATTCCTAGTATTAGAGGAAAATGGTATAGAATCACTTAAGTGTTGCTGTGGTTAATAAAGCCAGCTGTTTCTACTGCGGCATCAAGAAAAGTTCAGTTTTATGTAATTTTCTGCTTAAAATAATAAAGTTTGACATCTAAATATCCTGGGAACACAGATGTTCTTTAAAGTTCGTTGTTCTAGTTTAGTCTACTTTACATGTGAATGAAACGTGTTTAAACTGCTTTCTACTACTCTGAAAATTTGGGGGTTTTTTGGTTTGTGTTCATGGATACAGTAATTTTATAATTAATGTTTTTTAGTCTTTTTCTGAATGTTCTCTATCATGAATGTATCTATTTAGTACTGTTATTGCAGCATACAAGATTTGAATACTTTATATAAAGCAATTTAAGTTTATTTTTCTTCTTAATTTTATTATTGAGTGGTTAATTTTTAAGACTGGGGGAAATGTACTGCAGTTACAAAGAAGTCAGTTTTACCATTGACTGAGGAGTGGTTATGGAGTGTAACAAAGAGATTCAGTGGGGGCAAAATCCAGACTGTAGTAGGTTGAAGTTGGGTGGTAAGAAAATTTTCCTAAGAACCAGATTTTGTGTTCTTTTGCTTCAGATTTTCTAGAATCTCTTCTATTGATTAATAGCTTGACAGTTGTAGAGGATGCCATATAATAAAAAGTGCATTCATCTTAAAGATAAGGTTGATTGATTTTTTTAATACCTAGAAGTTCAAAAGTGTGGACTTGGAAGTCTTCATATATCTACACAGATTTGAGAATGTATGTTTCCGCTGCCTCTCAAATAGAAATGATTTTTTTGTCTCATAATTTATCTGACATACTTTAGTCATCACAGCAGTCTGCTGCCGGCTTTTACTGTGTAGCATCACCTAGTAGGGACCAGGGATGATGCTAAATATCATCCAGTTCCCAGCACAGTCCGCATGCAAAGCTTCAAATGTTGATGGCATCAAGGAAGAGAAACTCCAGTCTCACCTGCCTTGTTAAGTTGTAAGCAGCAGTTTCTGTCCGATGCACCAGGTTTCTTTTGCTTTTCGCCTCTTCTCTTCCCATCTCTTATACTCTCAAGTTTCTGCCTCCCTCCCTTTTTCCTCTCTGCTATCTGCGAATTAAAATAATGAAAACTGAGATGTTTGCTTGTTTGGTTTTGGGCCACACCTGGCGTTGCTCAGGATTAACTCCTGGCTCTGTGCTCAGGGATCACTCCCTGGCAGTGCTCAGGAGAACAGATGGGGTGCCAGGCATCAAACCTGGGTTGGCCACATGCAAGACAAGCTTCCTACGCAATGTAGGAAGACTTTTGCTCCAGCCTAAAACTGAGGTTGATGATTTTGTGCATAATTGTTTCCAAAGAATGCTTTAAAATGTTATCTTTTACCAGTGACGTTTTACATTTTATTCAAGGCATTTGTGTTTTTTGCATGTTTTTTTTTATCCAAAAAGATCATCATTTTGAAATTCCAAAGCTTCTAAACAGATTTTGATATTAAAAACATTTGTACAAAGGCCAGAGAGGTAGTACAGTGAGTATGACACCTGCCTTTGCACACAGCTGACCTGGGTTCGATCCCTAGCACTAAATATGGTTCCTTGACCACTTCTAGGCATGGCCATGGAGCACAAAACGAGGAGTAAACCCTGAGTACCACCATGGATACCCTCCCCAATAGCATATGTGCAAATTATGAAGATTATTAATAAAGACTTAACCCCTTACCTTTAAGAAGGAAACAAATTAATTTGCAAATGTGAAAACCGTTAAAATGACAACTTCATAAAACTGTGGCGTACATAAGGACCAGAAAGAGCACTGTGGTATGAGCACTGCTTCACATGTAGGAGGCCCAGGTTCCGTCTGGAGAGATCCCAGAGCACAGAACCGGGAGTGTCCCCTAAGCAGCATCAGAATGCGTCCCCTACCCTGACCTCCCCCCAAAACAGTCAAAAAACCTACGCAGAGATTTAGAAACTTTGTCACTTCTTGCTGTATTTCCTAAATCTTAACCAGTTGGCGTTTTACAGCAGATCTTGTCCACTTATTTTTGTTTGAAGAACTTTTTTTTTTAATACTAGAGAATTTCTTGAGTTCTTTGTCTTTGCCTCTCAAGACTTAAACGGGCCCATATATGCGCGTCTAAAATTATCCCGAAATGCATGTTCCTCCTTGAAGGATCTAATCTTAAACGTACATTCAGTGTGCCAGAAGGAGGCTGGATAGAAAATAGCGTGCTCGCACTCCAAGCTCGCACTCCGAGGCTCTGCCAGCAGAGGCTGCGTCTGGGGGAGATGAAATGCCACTCTGTCTTTATTTCTGTCTCTCGAGATGCACTCCTGCAGTTCCTCAGTGCAGGTTGCCCCGCGCCGGTTCAAAGTCCCGCACAGCCAGCGTGCGGTTGTAATTTACTGCTGTTTGACCCTGGCTGGGCAGAGGCGCCTCTAATTGAGTTCAGGCAGCAGTCCCGCCCCGCAGGATTCCTGCCGGTCCCTCTGGTTTAGGCAGCCCTGTGATTCTTTTCTTACCGAGAGTGAGTCCGGAACATCAGTTGGCAAAAGGTCAGGCATTCCGGTCTTCTTCCCTAGAAGGAACTGTGTCTGTGACTGACGTCTGAGTTCGAGGTCAGGGGAAACCATACGGAGCCAGTCCTCTGCCCTTCTTTCATACGACCTGCGGGCAGGCGGGAGGTGCAGGACCGTCTGAAGTAACCAGGCTCTGGATGGGTTAGACAGAGTCTGTAATAAAGATTTTTTAAAAAAGTCACGGTAGGTTTGTCTTCTTTGGAGAGTAAGAGTCGTCACAAAGATAAAAACTGCTCCTTTAAAAATATTTCTGTTCCGAATTCAAGTTTACCGGTACACTTAGGACTGGTATTATAGCTAAGTCATCATTTCTTAGAAAGTATCCTCTCATAAATAGCTCCTTTATTCCCTCTAATACTATGCTTACAGTAATAAAAGTGACTAATAAAATTCTGTGTGGTCTTTCCATGTAAGTGGGATTTGAGACATATTTAAATGTTTGTTGAGTAAGTTCACTTGGAAACTTTACCATCTCCTCAAATGTGCTATGAATTAGCAAACACAGGTTTTTTTTTTAGTCTTATGAGTCTGTTAAAAAAAATTTTTCATTTTATGTGATTATTCACTTGCAAAGTTATCCATCTTTTTAAATGTGGCATGGATTACCAACACACTTTTATTTTTCAAAAGTCTTGTGAGTTTGCTAAGAAAAATATTTTTTATTTTATGTTATTATGATTGAGATAATATGTCCTTGGTGTTTGTGTTCTGGGCTGCAATGTTACTATACACCACCACCAATGTTCCCAACCCCCAATGTTCCTGTGTCACTTCTGGGCCACCTTATCCCTTCTGACTCCATTTTCCTTCTTCCTTCCCCTGACCTGGTAACATCAGTTCTGGAGAGAGTGGGACACAACTGGCTGTGCTCTAGGATTACTCCTGACTCTGCTCAGGGATCACTCCTGGCAGCTTGGGGGACCATATTGGGTTCTGGGGATCAAGCCTGGGTCGGCTTTGTACAAGGAAAACATCACGCCTGAGGTACTGTCACTCCAGGCTTGACAACCCTTTTTTGTTTTTGTTTTTTAAACTTAGAAATACTGTCTTTTTTACCCCTTTATTTCTAATGAGCTCCAAGATTATTCATTCAGTAAATGTTGAGGCCTTTGTGTCCTCAAGTCTTTAAAGTAATTGTCAGATTTCTCCCTTCATGGAACTTTCCATCTTTGATTCTTCATAAATATTTTTTTATTATTTCAATTAGAATTGTCACAGGAACTTCTTAATGATCTCATTCTACATCTTCTTAATGATCTCATTCTACATCTTGTGTCTTTCAGACAACTTTTTTATGCCTTTAAAGTATTACTCTTTTCCATAATTTGGCCGTTAACAAAGCACTGTGGTTGAAAGGGGCAGTATTTAGGACCACACCTAGCGATGCTCAGGGCTTACTCCTTGTCCTGTGCTCAGGGATTCCCCCTGGCCCTGTGTTTAGAGCTCACAGCTAGTGGTGCATCTGCAGTGCCAAGAATCAAACTGGAGTCTGCTGCGTGGAATACAAGTGCTTTATCCCAGGTACTTTCTCTCCAGTCCCCCCAAAAGCACTTTCGTTGGTAATCCCAACTCCTCAGACAGTAGCTAGGTGGTGATATTCCTAGAATGTAGACCAGAAGACCGCCAGGCTGTGACTCTGGTTTCAGAAGCTCAGAGTTCCTTTTGCCAGCATTTGTAGCAAGAACTTGAAGACCTTCCAGAGTATTACTCTGGTCTACCTTGGTATTCTGATTTGTCAGTGTTACTTACTGTATACCTTCCACTCTGATCATACTGACACATTTATTAATCTTGGAATACAGGTTTTCCACTCTGTTACCTTGTTTGCAGTTTTGTAAAAGCAGTATTTTTTAAGCATAGTTCAGCAGTTACAGGGAAGGACTCTGTGCAATAAATAATCTGTCAACTCCACTTAGGTGTTTTGGGGGAGGGCAGGCAAGAGGAGGTGACAGGCCTGTAGCACTCGGGCCACTCCCAGCCTGAGAGCTGTTCCCAGAGCTTAAGAAAGACCACTCTGTTCTGGAACTGAATCCAGGGCCCGACAACACACAAACGAGGCAAATTCCCTGACATCCACATGAACCACATTCTGGGCTCCCTCAAAGTAGATTTTTGTTTTTGTAAAGTGCTTATACAAATAAATTGCTCTTCACTTGGTTTAGCTAATATTTAGCTAATTTGTTGATAGTGGTACTCGCAGTGATGCTGGCCCCCGAAGCATGTGGTGATCCTGGCACTGTGATGCTGGGCACCTTGCTTGGCATGTGGTGCTCGGGGAGCCACGTCAGAGCACCGTAACCATTCCAGGCACGTGCCCCCTCCCTTGAGCTCTCCCCCAGCCTTAAGCACTTTCTTCTTCAGTCTTCTTTTATTCTTTTGTGAAGTCCTAGGCTGCTGTTTCTTTCATTTTACCCAACCCCTTCCATCCACCTCTCTTTTTCCCTTTGTCCCCTATCCCCGCTATAAGTGGAATTTAAGATTTTTCTCTTTTGGTGGAACACTTGTATATATTTTATCTTGAACCTGATTGAATGTTTGTTTCCAGAGGGTTCTGATTTTTGTATTTTATATATCACACAATTTCATATGTAAAGTTATTTTTATTTAGTTAGGTATGCCTATTATTATAATGGCAACAAGGTAATTGGAGATGAGTGAAAGAGTAACATGTTCTTCCTTTTTTTTATAGAGTTAGAAGTTCACCACTTAAGCAGTCTCCAGGTTATCAGACAGAACTAGTTATTCAGTTGGTTTGGGTGAGCGGAGAACCACCGCAGCAAATAACCAGCCTGGCAGTCAATTCTTCCTATGGGCTGTAAGTATTTTTTGTGTTTCTCTTCCTTTCTCTTCCAAGTGTCTCATACTTCTTAAAAGTAGGCAAAAGGATCTCTTTCATTACGCAACATCACTTAAAAAGTGGTTGCGTAAATTTAATTTCATACCGTATTCAGTGTTTATTTGGGACATAACTCTGTTCTGAATAATTTACTCTGGGTATATTTATGCTGCTTTCTGATATAAGATTAAATATTTCATGGGACAATTAATTATTTCAGATAAATTTTAAAGTCAAGGACATTAAATATTATATGTAATTTCTATGATAACCTGTTAAACTTAAAAGTTTTGTATCTAAAGTGTAGCACTTTGGGGGCTGTTGGCATGGGTTAGTGGTGGCATGTATTCCTCACCCGTATGAGAACCTTAGTTCATTCCCTTACACTGCAAAATAAAGGTAATGAAAATAAACATTACTGTATGAGAGGTAGACTCAGACAGGCCGGTCTTCCTTGGTATCATTTCTTTGCTGCCTTACAATGTAAGAACACAAATCTTTTTCCCTCTTAATACTTTGCTGTTCATAACCATAAAGTAAACCAGCAGGGGAAACTCAACAAGGAATTACTGACTTTGAAGGAAGAAATGGAAGAGATGGGTTTTGTGTGTGTGTGTGTGTGTTGGGGGGTGGAGGGGGAGTGTCTTTCATTCCTAAAAATCTAAATACACATTCTTTTTCAATGCACATGGAACATTCTCCAAGATAGACCACATTCTGGGCCACAATACATCCACACAATCAAGAGGATAGAGATTGTACCAATGATCTTCTAAAACCGTGATATAATGAAAGTAGAAATTAATTACAAACAGAAATGCAAACACCTGGAAATTAAATAGCGTGCTACTGAACAAGCCAGTGGGTCAGACAGGAAATCAAAAGATTCTTGGAAATAAACAAGAATGAGTACTTGAGCTGCCAGAACTTAATGAGACACAGCAAAAGCAGTGTTAAAAGGAAAGTCCATAGCTATGCAAGCATTCATCTAGAAGGAAGAATTAGCCCATAAAAATAACTTGAATGTACAGCTTAAACTGGAATATGACCAACAAAAGGATCCCAAAGCAGACAAAATGAAGAAATAATAAAACTTTGGAACAGAAACTAATGAATTGGAATTTTAAAAAGATCAAAAGGTTAACAAAAATTAGAACTGGTTCTTTGAAAAAATAAACAAGATTGTTGAAGCCAGTGTAATAATACAAATGAGAGGGTGTTTGGCCACCTTGCATATGGTCACTCGGGTTTGATTCCCATCCCCCATCCCCACAAAGCCAGGAGTAAGCCCTGAAGGCAGCTTGATGTGGCCCCAAATAAAAATCAAAGCAAAAAATAAAATCAGTAAATTAATAGCAAGACTCACAGGGAGACAATCCTTATAAATCAAATCAGAAATGAAAGGGGAGAAATCACACCAAAATTCGAAGTATCATCAAGATTACTTTGAAAATCTGTATGCCAGAAAACTAGAGAATCTAGAAGTGCATAAATTCTTGAAATCCTATGACTTCCCAAGGCCGAACCAAGAGGATATAGACTATATGAACCGACTTGTCACTATCAAAGAAATTAAAATGAAAAGTCTCCCCAAAACAAAAGCTCAAGCCCAGATGAAATCACTAGTGAGTTCTTTCAGACCTTTAAAGAAGAGCTACTGCTAATTATTTTCAGGCTCTTAAAGTTGAAAAGACAGAAATCCACCTAGATGTCTTATTTTTCTCTCCTCAATTTTATTTTTATAAATTTTTACACAATAATTTATTACATTCAATATTCCATTACCAATCCCACCACCATAACACCTTCCCAACGCCGTTAATATCAGATTTTCCCACCACAACTCAAACGTGCTCCCAAAACAGGTCCTAAATCATTTATTTTGTATGGCTTATGAATAATGTGTTAAAATGATCCCAAAGAGTTTCCTTAGAGGAAAATGTGTGAAGATTGTTGTATCTCACCCTAGAGACATTAAGCTCTTGTAGAAGAGATTACCAGACATCTTTTATGAAGCAAACCTCGCACTCATCACAGAGAACAGCAACCAGTATCGGCAAGGATGTGAACAAGGAGGCATCCTCATTCAAATACTGGTGGGAATGCTGACTAAACCTAAGAATTGAGCTTCCATATGGCCTTGCAACTCTACTTCTAGGAATATTATACCCTAAGTGTCCCCCCAAAAATGCAGAAAAGGCATCTTCACTCCTATGTCATTGCTGCATTATTCACATGAGGCAAAATGTGGAAAGAACCCAAGTGCCCAAGAATAGATAACTGTATAAATAAGCTGTGGTACATATATACAGTGGAATACTATGCGTCCATTAGATAAGATGAAGTCGTAAAATTTTCTAATACTTGCATGGATCTGGAAGGTATCAACTTTTTTGAGTGAAATGGGTCGGAGCGAAAGTCACAGAAGGATATCACTCATTTGTGGGATATAAAGAAATATAGTAGAGGAATAACTACTGCCCAGTGACAATGGACATTTCTCTTTATTAAGAGAACTGGTCCTTTTTTTCAAGGAAGTTTGCCACAGTGCAGGGAGAGCAGGGAAGGGACCACTACAAAATCACAGAGTGAAGTGGTCACTCTGGGTGGGAGCTGGGTATCAAAATGAGGTATAAGTGATATGCATGATACCATCTCAGCAACAGTATTTTGAAACTACAGCGCTTTAAAAGGGTCGGGGGAGGAAAAATAAAAATGTGCCTACCATAGAATCAGGATGGGACATAGGAGAGAAACGGGGGCATTGCTGGAGGAAAGTGGACACTGTGAAGGAATTGCTACTTGAACATTATATCTGAAAGTCAGTCATGAATAATTTTGCAGTTCATGGTGATTCAATTAAAAATGGGAGAATAATAATTTTTCAAAATTATGCTTTCTACTATTTATCGTTGACTGCAGGGATCACTAAAAATTTCCCAAAGTGTTAGTCTCTGTTTCACTAGAGAAGTGGGGCGGGGGGAGGGGAGGAGAGAGGGAGAGGAGGAAAAAGCAGAGGGGAGGGGAAAGGAAAGAGAGGAGAAAGGAGAGAGGGAAAGGAAGGAAAGAAATGTGAGATTGCCTAGTGTCGGGACACTCAAGTCGGTCACTGATGATGTTTCAGCTCCTATTCCAAAAGGCTTTGTAGGATGTTGAAGTTTAGTTCTTGTCTGCAGAAGATCCGCACACTTTCTTGGGGCGGCCTGTGTAGCTTATATTTCCACTCCTGTGACACTCGCTTGTTTTAAAGAAGAATTTTTGGAAAGACCCATGATCTAGGATATCAGTGGGTTTGTCCTTTCAGCCTTGCCGCAGGGAACTTAGTTTACCTTAAAGCAATGTCTTTTCTGTATGGACACAGGAAGACAGTTAATATTATGCTTTGTAACTTGGGAGGAGTTGATTAACTCCAATAATATTTACTCCTGGGCATCTGCTCTCGACTCAGTTGCTCTTAGTTCCTAGCACTCCAAAAGCAGGATCCCGACGAGGGACTGAATGGACTCACGGCAAGCTGTGAGCTACCCTGGCATCGAAATGGACCAGTCCATAGACAAATGCTGTCATGATCAAAAAGTAACGATGAGACTAGGACCCTGCTGGGGTTAGGAAGACTAACCTGGCCTGAGGACTATGGTAAGAGGTCCTCAGGAAGAACCAAAATTTAAGTTTGATATATCTCTTACTGTGCTCATACAGAATGATATTGCTAGAAAAATTAGAAGTAGATTTACTACAACTATTTAAGTGGAAAGAAGAAAGCAACACACCCTGAATGGGATCCCGCCCTTAAACACATCTCCTCGTAATCCAGAGTAATCTCTGAAGGCCGAAAGGACAAACCCATTGTTATCCTGCACCATCCCTCTTCGATTTTTATAGATTACAACACATTTACTTGTAATTACCTGTGCTAAGATATTGTTATTTATTGTTTCCAGGGTCGTTTTTGGCAATTGTAATGGCATTGCTCTAGTAGACTACCTCCAGAAAGCTGTACTCCTCAATCTGGGCACTATTGAGTTATATGGCTCCAATGATCCGTATCGGAGAGAACCTCGGTCCCCTCGGAAATCTCGACAGCCTTCAGGAGGTAAAAAGAAAAAAAAAAGTTAAATTCATTCTATCAGTTAGGTAAATAGCTTGTCTGGTCTAGTGTATGTGTGTTTGTGTGTGTTTGCACGCACGTGCTTTATGTCTGTGTGTATATATGTGTATGTGGCTATATATAATAAAAAAACTAGTTAAAATTAGTCAGTTTTTGTCTTAGATTGTTTTTCCTTCTGTTTTTATGCTTTAGGATTTTAAGTAACATTGGAAAAAGAACGATGTCAACTTTTTGAAAATTTCTCTCATTAACACAAGAAATATGTCTCTGTGTTTGATACTGAAGACCAATAATTCATTGTTTCAGTTACTTAATTCAAAGTAATAAATTTCCACATAAAATGAAATCTGAATTTTGAGGAATTATAGTTCCCTCAGATACAATACAAACCCAAATCATTAAGAATATTCTTTATACGGCCAAGAGATAGTATAGTGAGTGAGGCATTTACCTTGCAGATGCTGACCCCAGTTCAGTCCCTGGCACTCCTGAAGGTCCCCTGAGCCTTGCCTGGAGCGATTTCTGAGCATATAGTTGGGTGTGCCCTGCGACAAAAAAGTGATCTGTTTATAATATTATTTTATTTTATAAGATAATTGCTTCTAAGTTCTATATTAGTATCTTATGAAATGCAGTGTAGTTAGTGGCTTATACCATTTTTCCCATTTTTCCTTTTTTTTCATTTTTTAAAAAATTTTGTGGCACAGAGAAGAAGTGTATTTGATGTCTGATTACCAAAGTCCCAACTATAACTGATCTGTGGCCCCCAGGCTCCCCATCACCTGCCCAGCTGAAACAGACCCAAGGAGCAGCCCTATCCTGGGAAGATTGAGCTCCTTTCCAGAATGCCATTGGCAGTAGATCCCTGGGAAATTCTGATTTACGTTTCCTAATTCAATGCGTAGGAGTTAAAATTGTCCCTGAGATTTTAAATTTCATTTCTGGCAATCCAAAATTGACTAACATGGCAATTCATGAGGAGAAAAATGAGTTACAGTATAGCACTTACAATCACAGCAGCTTGTGTCCGACTATTGTTTTCTATTCTGTTGTGTGTGTATGTATGCGTGTGAACGTTTTGATTTTATCGTGTGACAGAATTATTGTCCCAGTCATACCACTCTAGTGTCTGTCTTTTATTTCTCTTTGGCTTTTCATTGCTTCCTTAAGGTTTGCTGAATGTGAGTTCTTGCATGTGCGGCCTTTCTAGCTTACATTCTGAATTCATGAAAAAGCTTCATTCTTCTTTTTTAAGTAAGTTATGTATTCTATGTCAGGAATGTCATCTTTGTTGTCTATAAAAATATGTTTTATTTGGTTTTAAAAGATCTTATAAATATTCCATATCTAAAATAATATATATATACTGTTTAAATTCATCTGATAATATATATGTATATATGGAAAGAGGCATTAAAGTACTTATTTTCCAACTCAGCTTCTTTTGAGTTAGAAAGCTAAAATGTGGTTGTGATAGATAGTCATTTGGTATGGGGGGGAAGTAAATACTTGCAACAATTTTACCAAAAAAACCCTCTGGTATAGTTCTTACGCCTTCTAAAATTAGTTCATTGCTTTCCTTCCTCAATTCCTCATTGTAGTATATATAAATTGCTAGAAACCAAATATCTAAATTTATCCAAAAATAGAGACCAATTTTACCAGGAGAGTAAAAATTATTTTTCCAGTTTGATTTCATTGTTACGGGAATTGTTGTGGGGTCCTACCCAAAGTTTCTAGCGGAGCCAGAACCACATCCTGTGGTGCTCGGGCATCACTAGGGCAATATTTGTAATTGTTCGAGTTATAATTTAGAAATTATATTTTATGTATTTTAAATATATTTTAATATGTAATATAAATGCATTTACTGAGTAAACTATCACTATCACTCTCACTATCCTCCTGTTGTTCATTGATTTGCTCGAGTGGGCCTAGTAAAGGTAAAGGTAAAGGCACTCCCGTTGATCGTCGATTTGCTCGAGCGGGCCCAGTAACGTCTCCATTGGAGACTTTGTTGTTACTGTGTCTGGCATATCGAATACTCTCGGTAGCTTGCCGGACTCTCCGAGAGGGGCGGAGGAATCGAACTCGGGTCGGCCATGTTGGCCGCTTGTAAGGCGAACGCCCTACCGCTGTGCTATTGCTCCAGCCTAGTAACATTGTGAAACTTGTTACTGTGTTTGGCGTATCGAATATGTCACGGGTAGCTTGCCAGGCTTTGCCATGCGGGTGAGATACTCTTGGTAGCTTGCCGGGCTCTTCGAGAGGGGCGGAGGAATTGAACTCGGGTTGGCCATGTTGACTGCATGCAAGGCAAACGCCCTACCCACTATACTATCGCTCCAGCCCAGTGAGTAAACTAAGTATTATATTTGAATAGTTGAAAATGAAGGTTTATTTATCAAAAATTATACCCCTATTTAAGGGGTAACTACATTTTGATGTCATAGTAAAAATCCATAAGGGAATTTATTAATAGGTGTCATAAACTTAAAGGAAATGAAGTTTGTCATGATAAATGTTTATTCTCCAAGCCAGAGAAGTATTGTTAGCAGATTAGATGCTTGCCTTGCAAACAGCTGACCCGGGTTCTTTCTTTGGCACCACATCTGGTCGCCCAAGGCCCACCAAGAGTGATTCCCTGAGTACCACTGGGTCCCAAATCAAACAGCAATTTTTAGATCTGTGATGAAATTATAAAGATTGATTACATCTATAGTGAACAGAAAACTGGCTTTGTGGATGTTTACATGAATATTCATTCGTGTGGACATGCTCTGAGTCTTTAATTCAGGCAGAATTAAATATAAATAAGCCTCAGCCCTCTTTACTGTGAGTGAAATGAAGGAAGATACTGTGTAGGGTGCTAATCTCTAAAAGGTTATTGCTATTCCCTCAGAAAGTTAGCTTCATTGTTAATGAAATGACCCCCGCCCCCTTATGACTGGAACAAGGTTAGTGTTCACATGGTTCTTTTGCTAGTGGTAACAAGTTTTGCATGTCAATTATGTGTTATAGATGTTAAATATATTAATGTGAGATTTGTGGGATACTGTGAGTTTTTAATGTTATGCTTCCTCCTCATTTTGAAAACAGTTAGAAAAACCCAGATTTTTCCTCAATGTAAACAGGAACTTTTGACTTGTACAGTGTCAGTGATACATGTATGAAGTTGACTGTCTTTAGACCTAGTACTTTGTCATTGACTAAAATAACTTAAATCTCAGTTGTTCACTTTCTTCTTCTGCAAATTGAGGATATTACCATCTTCCTCTTTTGCTTCAATGAGGGTTAGATGAGTCAGGTATTTAGATGAGTAGTAGGTACGCAGTAAGCACTAATAATATTATTACTAGCTAGCTAATTGGACTGGGATACACTTGGGCATAGACTAGATAACTGATGTTATGAATATTTGGTGAAAGGAATATAACAACAAAAGCACTCTTTCTTTCATGAATGTCCATTCAGTTATACAGATATTTCCGTTCCTACCAAATCAGTTTTCATAGAATTCACAGTCTACTAAAAAAAAAGTGATAAAAAGATAATATATAATAAATAGCATAATAGTGCTAAGTAAAAAAGAGATATTTTAAATGTCATTAATAGGGATATTTCATTTTAAGTGGAATATCAAGATACTTTTGTGTAAAACTTATAAGCAGATTTTTTTATGGATGCCTAAGAAAGGTAAGAGAAGAACAAATGTTAGGTATTTGAAAAAGCACAACTAGTGAGTTTAAAGTATAGTGAGAAGTGAGACTGGAGCAGAGAAAGTGAGGTGGGCAGGGAGGTGTAAGAAGAGGAAATACGACTAGACCCAGATGTATGCCTTAGTCATATGCCAGATGTGTCCACACACCATTGAGTTGACTTGGGCATTTCCCTGTGTCAAATGGAAAGTATTAGTTTTAGCTAAAAAGAGTTTTAGCTACTTCATTAAGTCAACATCTAAATAAATTCATTTTCATCCCTTCCTTTAATCTGGTTTCCTAATTGCTTCTTCTGAGACTATAGAATTACACCAGAGTACACATTTTTACAATATATGGTAGCAGCTGACAAAAATGCCAAAGACTTGTCAAAATTGGCATTTGTATTAAGTACTAGGCACATTGTGCTATGAAAATTAAAAAGGAAAAATAGACTTCATATCCAATGAAGGCAATAATATATGTAGTTCAGAATAGGAAACACTTCTTATAAGTTTTCTGGAAGCAAGTTCATACTCAGTGTTTTCTGGAACATGACTATAAAATCTTTCATAGTAACTCAAGATTGCAATAGCCTGGCTTTTACTGAAGGAATATAAAAACAGTACTGGCTATACCAACATGATACCCAACTTCCTATAAATTATAGACATACAACTTATTGCCTCTTGTCCACCTTAGTCAGAAGACTTTGTAGGATTTTTTGCTTTGCATTTGACATTTTATTTATTTATTTTTTACTTTCAGTCTGAAGCATAAGATACCTAAGCATAAGAAACCAGGGTATCAATTAGATTTACTTTACAAAAAGTATTAATATCTATGAAAGAATATATTTAGAGCTCTTTAAAAAGTGTTGGTGATACAATATTAAGAGATATAACATTATAAGTAACAAACAAACTGTCCTCTCGTTGTTCATCAATTTGCTGGAGCGGGCCCAGTAACGTCTCCATTTTGGGACTTCTTGTTACTGTGTTTGACATATTGAATACGTCACGGTAGCTTGCCAGGATTTGCTGTGTGGATGAGATACTCTCGGTAGCTTGCCGGGCTCTCCGAGAGGGGCAGAGGAATCTAACCAGGCTGGCTGCGCTCAAGGCAAACGCCCTACCACTGTACTATCGCTCCAGCCCCACACTATAAGTAATATATAATAAATTGAATATTGCAAAATTGGTGTCACAAAATATCTACTTCATTATTATTCAGAATATTTGAGAGAGTTATTTGAGGCCTATATAGGAGAAATCAGTGGAGTTGGTGTTTTGATGACATAAAAATCACCAACTTATTGCCTAGGATTATCCCTGAGATATACAAGAAGAAATATATATATCACATTTTTTTATATCACTGCATCTCATGGTGGTGTGGAATATATTGTTGGGCTATATCCTGCAGTGCTCAAGGGGACCGGGGATCAAACTGGGATCAGCGGCATACAAGGCAAGTGCCTTAACCCTCGTCCTTTCTCAGCCTCTCAAATGACGAATTTTAAACATTATTTCTGATGTTTTTGAATAGTAGCAAATTGTCTCTTTGGGATTCCAATATGATTGCCATATAGTGTGATATTCTGCTCTGTTTTTAAAGCGACAGTTAAAAGGGTACTCTAAAATGGGAGGTGAAACTGCGTAATTTTGTGTTGTGATCAGTTCTTGCCTTTGTTTCTTACAGCAGGTCTCTGTGATATCAGTGAAGGGGCTGTAGTCCCAGAGGATCGCTGCAAATCTCCAACTTCTGGTAACTTGTTTTTTGTTTTGTTAGTGGTTATGACCCTACAAAATCCCATATGGCATTTCTAGATACTCATTTAAAGTATCTGTGTAGGAAATGTTTGTCACATGTTTATTATTGGACAACTATATATTGAATTAAGGGCAATAAATATCCACTGCTTTGATCTGTTTAAAAATCTTGTAACTGAACATTTTTTCCTAGTATTTATATGGGAGGAGGAACCACTGGGTCAGACATGTAGTCATCTACCATTGTTTTAGCCATTCCACCATCGTCTCATAAAATAAACCTTCCTAATCTTTAAAGTGTCAATACTTACAACCTCATGGTGACTGTCGATAGAAGTTTAATTGTTGATGACTCAGATTTGATTTTGATCAAGTAGTAACTAATGGAATTTTTTAAAAATCTTAAGCCTGGTCTCTTTTCTTATCTGTAAATACTTCAGATGAGCCGCATGGAGATATTTCAAAGGATCATTGCTTTCCATTATCTTTGGAGTCTCCTTAAGACTAAAAGGATCCTACATTTATCACTTTTTAGCAGATTGAGTTTTGCCCATTTGTGAATAAAGTTGGCTTAAAAAAAATTAACTGCAGGAGGCCAGAGTTGACTTATGTGTGCTCAGCCCTGGTTCTGTGGGAAATTGCCCTTTAAATATAGGCCCTGACTCAGGGCACACTCAGTCAGGGAGAGAACCGGCCAGAAGCCCTGCGATAGACGGCCTTGCAGAGAAAGGTCTGCCAGATGGAACAGAGCTTTCCCTCCACCTCAGGACCTTTGCTTATCTACCCACACCTGGTGCTACAGCTGCACTAACAGTGCTTCTTTGTTCTTTGTATTAACACATCACAGGTAGCATAGGTGCCATGGGGGAGAGATACGGAGTTTGAACTTAATGAAAGGCCAAAGAGCCCTTTGCCTGGTCTGTTTAAGTCAGTTCAATACCTGGACTAGCCTCCCTGTCTGTCTCATTCTTTCTGACTGACCCACTGGATGCAGGATATCAACTTGTTTTTCTTCATTGGGACTAATCAGCCACAGGGTTTGATCCCTGGAACCTTATCTAGTCCCTGAGCACCAGCAGGAGTAATAATCCTTGAGCACAGAGCCAGGAGTAAACACTGAACACTGCTGGTATGGCTCAATTTTCCCCCAACATACAATAAAAATTTGCTCCTCAAATGATTTGCTCCCTCCAGTTAAAAAAAATTTTTAATTAGTTTTTCATAACTTATCTGGCTTAGAATTTTCATCAGCTTTCTACTGCAAATTGGTTCTTAGCATAAACTACAGTGTTCTTAGATTTTTATCCTTCCATAACTACTTCAGTTGCATCAAGTAGTTATAAGAATGAGAATTATTGACAGATACATTTTGCTTTTTCTCTATTTCTATTTAGCATTTTATTAGAGCTAGATGCTTTTTTTTAATTACATGTTCCCGCAATTTACTGCACAAGGTAATCATTTCTTAAAATAAGTTCACCTCCTGTTTTTCTTAAATTTTATATTTAAATTCACTCAGTAAGCTAATAAAGCATATGGAGAAATAATCAAAACTCACATAATTGGCACCTAATATTAAGTCTGAGCATTGGTAGAATAAGTTTGAATACATAATATGGATAGGATTATTATACCAAGTTATTTCTGAACTTGGCATTTAGAATTTTGTTATCTTTTGATTATTACCCTTCTTCCTCTAATAACATATCATTGTTTTGATATATTCGACTTCTCTAAATATTATGTTATTGCCATTGCCAGTCTGTCATGGCTATCAGCCAAATTGGATCATTTGAACATGTTATATATTGTATTTTATATGTTAATTGACTATAAAATGTAACAAGATTTAGTTAAAATAAATTAATAATTGTATCTTAGGGAGAACTTTTTATAGCTGTATCTGTCAATTTTGAATAACAAACTAAAAGTATACGTGTATATTTAATTTCAAGTATACATATGTGTGTATGCACATATATACGTATACACACAAAAACAAGACAGAAAGACCCTCCAAATTCTTTCTCAAAACACAAAAATGGTTCAACATTTTCAAATAAAAAGTACTCTTTTGCCCTTACATAAAGTAGTATAGTTTAAATGTGCAGGGATTTATAACCCTAGTTATTACTTTGTTTTTCTCAGTAAAATTGAAATGCAGAGTGAAAATTTGTAACATCAGAAGTCTTGATAAATTGAAAATTTTTACCCTTATGTAAACTACTTTAGGTTTTGAGTCTTAAAGTTACATTCATTAGTTCATATCAGGAATGCTGCTTTTATAAAAAAAATAAATTGAACTTTGGTAGACAGTAGTAATATCTGAAACTACTGTTTCAGGGGATAAAAGTCAGTCATGCATAGTACTGAGACTGTATCAGTAAAAACTAGACTAAAATTCAGAAAACTATCTCTTCATTAGCACTGTACTCCCACTGTTCATTGATTTGCTTGAGAGGGCATCAGTAACATCTCCATTGTAAGACTTGTTGTTACTGTTTTTGGCATATTGAATACGCCCTGAGGGAGCTTGCCAGGCTCTGCCATGTGGGCAAGATACTCTCGGTAGCTTGCTGGGCTCTCAGAGAGGGATGGAGTAATTGAACCTGGGTCAGCCATGTGCAAGGCAAACACCCTACCTGCTGTGCTATTGCTCCAGCCCATCCTTTTATTACTTATTTATAATGTTTATTTGTATTTTTTGCTACATATTCATTTAAAAATTGTTAATACTCATTTTTACCAACTTCTGTGGATCAGTTTTCTTATTCTTTGCACAGCTGTAAGCTGTCTTCAAATTTGTTAGCTTGTGTTAGGAAAACTAATTAATTTTTCCTCTTCCAATATATGCAAGTTCTGCTTATTTATATTTCTCAAAATAAAAAAAGGATGGGATGAGCTTAACATGAATTTCTAGAGCACAAGAGGATCACATAATTAAAACCACAGAAAGTAGTATTGAGCACCTGCAGGAGTTATTTTTCAGTACAGGGCCAAGAGTAACCCCTGAGTATTGCCCAGTGTGGCCAGAAAACAAGTTATCATATAAATACATAAGGAAATATTTAAATGCAGTGTAAAATAACAAAATTAATATATCAGTATAGCTTTTAGAAATTGCAATTTTTATGGGAGAGGAAAAGTATAAAAATGAGCAGAAGTCCAAATGACACCCTCATGAATTGTAAGAGGAGGGTCTATGCATTATGGAAATGTAATCTAAGTACATTCACTTTAATAATGCTTATAGATAAAGAAACTTTGTTGGAAAACCTTGAAATCTTATGTGAGTGCAGAAGATAAGATAATCAGTATCAAAGTCCTGTTAAAAATATCCTGAAAGGGGCTGGAGCTATAGCATAGCGGGTAAGGCGCTTGCCTTGCACGCGGCTGACCTGGGTTCAATTCCCAGCATCCCATATGGTCCCCTGAGTACCGCCAGGGGTAATTCCTGAGCGCAGAGCCAGGAGTAACCCCTGTGCATCGCTGGATATGACCCAAAAAGCAAAAAAAAAATCCTGAGAAAATATGAGCATATGCTTTGCCTATTTATTAAAAAATCAGGAAATTACCTGTAATAAAAAATTAATTTTACTGTTATGATTTAGCATGAAGAGTTAATTTTGCTAACTGTAGCAAATTTATTCTGCTATTTGTGCTATCACAGAATTCACATTGCTTCACTATTGGAATATTTTTGTACCCCGTCCAAAATTAAAAGTACTTTAGAAATTGACATATTTCTCTAAAATTGACATATTCTCTAGAGAAAACCAAAGAGTAGTAGGCATTTTATATGTCTGTATAATCTTAGCAATTAGCTGTGTTCAAACAGGATATTCTGAGGACAATTTTGGAGTGAGTTTTCACAGAAATAATTACAACAGAGATCAGTGTTTTCAGTGAGAAAAAAATAAGTAATTTTTTACTTATAGGTACAACTCATATTGTCTGTTTTAATGTTGAAAATGCTAGATATTTTTATATTCATATTTAGAAGTAACACATGAAATATATTGAATAAAATAATTATTAGTAAAATGTCTGTCACTCAGATATAAGTATTCATGCTGACAGTGATAACTTTAAATATATAAAGGAGCTGGAGAGATCGTACAGTGGGGTTAGGCTCTCGCTTTGCATATGGTCAACCCAGGTTTGATCGCTGGAATCCCCATATGGTCCCATAATCTCTGACCATGACCCTAAAACAAAACAACTTAATTAAAAGATACATATTTTCACACACAAGACAATCCAGCGAGTGCAAAAAGGATATAAAGATAAATCAGATGGAGCCCAATTTTTTAGTTCAATGGAAAAGATCATTTTTGTGGGAATGTGAAAATACAAAGTCTTAGATGGTTAACATCATCCAAAGAAAGTTTCCAGTTATAGGAATTTAAAGTCATGAAGGTGATTTGTAACAGAATATTGTGAAAAAAATAATTTTGTGCTGTAGAGATATATTTGTTGATGAAAGACATCTGATGAGACAGTACTTCTTAAATTTTCTCAAGACTCCTTAACCCCCAAATATTCTATGGAAACCTGGGTCTTTAGGTATATAACAAACATTTACGGGTAGCAAATTTTTAAAAATTTGCAAACAAACTTACTTTTAAGCTATCTGACCTGTGTGGAGTTGTAACCCATGTTTAAAGAACTCTGAGTAGAATACAGCTTAGAATTGCATTTGTAATAGAATAGTCACATTAGAAATTAAAGAATTACTATGTAAGTCGGAAACTGGAAAGTGAACAAAAATCTTAATAAAAATATTATTAAAGAATTCTAAAAGTATAGTCATATTCTAAAAGTATAGTCATTATAGTTCATTATAACCATGTTTATATTATGTATCATGTAGCTATGTTATATAGTCTATGGCTAATGTAATTTAATTATGAAATAAAATGTTAAGTAAACTTATTACAAATCACAGACAAAATTATAGTTAACAATTTACCTCATTGAATTTAAATATTTAAACACATCTAAAGAATAAGTATAGTCTTTAGAATTTCAAGTCTTATATAGAATATAAATATGTCTCAAAACTATAGCACAGTAGTACTGTCCTCCTGTTCTTCATTGATTTGCTCGAGCGGGCCCAGTAATGTCTCCATTGTAAGACTTCTTGTTACTGTGTTTGGCATATGGAAAGCTTATCTCAGAACTATTAGATTTATATTTGCTGTTAAATACTGTATCTCAAAAGTTAACTCTAAAAATTTTACGGTACAATATTTTTTCAGAATTACTAGATAAATCTATTTGATAATTCATTTAATGTCTATATAAAAATCAGATAAAGCTTTTTTTTTTTTTAGATTTTTATTAGTGAAACACCATGAGGTCCAGTTGTAGATTTACAAATTTTTGTGCTTGGGTTTCAGTTATACAATGACCCACCAGTGCCCATTCTCGACCACCACTGATCCCAGTATCCTTCCCACCCTCCATGCCTCCCCCCATCCCACCCTGCCTCTGTGGCAGGGCATTCCCCCAATAAAGCTATTTTCTAACATAGATATAATTTCTCAATTGGTTGTAATTTTAGGCAAAGCTGTACCAGAGTGATTGTGTATATGCACACACATGTTATGGATTGGTCTCTCTTTGAAAGAAGATTGTTATTCTTATAGTGTTTATAAGAATTTTTCTTAGCTGTTTAGATGACATTTTCTGTGTGACCAGTGGTGTAGGAACTTGTTTCAGAGGTTACCAGATTACCGTGTTTGTGTTTTTCCCTGCAGCAGCCCTGTGTTTGTGACTGACTGTGTGTCTGTTCCTTTCATTGTCTTCATTTGTGTAGGTTCTTCATCACCACACAATTCAGATGATGAACAAAAAATGAATAATTTTATAGAAAAGGGTATAGTATATTTACTTTAAAATATTTTCTTTAATTTATGTTAAATTGATTTAGTTTTTTGACTAGATTTTGACATTTTATATCAAAATATTATTTTCAGTGAAGACCAAAAGCAGAAAGTTTTCCAAGATGGTAGCCAGTGATATAGGTAGGAAATAGAAATTTCTATTTTGTTCCTAATCCTTGCTCTATGCAATGCTAACTCCACACCAGAAAATTATCTAATGCATTGCATTTTGTATATATTAATTCGTTATCCTTTGCTGAGCAATAATCTCTTGGGCTGTGTTTCTTCTACACGCATCGGGGCAATAATGATTAAAAATTGGTTAAATTGGGGTGGCAGCTCTTCCTCTGACTTACAGTGTGACATTTTTCTACTATTTATTTTTGCTTCCTTTCAAAAATAAAACAAGGTTCAATTTATGCCATAAGTAATACAATTTTATGTTTTCGGGTTCTTTTTTAAAAACTCTTGTTTGGGGGGCTCCTCCCAGCTCAGTACTCAGGTATTGCTCCCATAGGTGCATACCAGTGACACCACTGATTAAACCTGGGCCTCTTGTATGTAAAACATTTTTCATCATAGAGTTATTTGTTCTTCTGTTGTTCTTTTTTTTTATTCTCATATGTTCAGTACCTTAATTTTTTTTAATTTTTATTTTATTAAAAAATTTTTTAATAGTGAGGCATCATGAGGTACAGTTGCAGACTTACACATTTTTGTGCTTGGGTTTCAATTATACAATGATCAAATAGGAAACCTATCATTTTCTAAAAGATTGGCTCTTTGTTCTTTAATCTACACGCCCCAAGGGTTAAATGGCTTTTTTTTTTTAAAGGATCTCTTACCCAGTGTTAAAGTAAGTGAATGAAGAGTATTTTTAATTAGTGATTTTTATTTATTGGTTTTATAAATGTCCTTCCCAAACATGCCTAAAGTTCTCAGACTAGATTGGGATAAATAATGTATTTCAAACTTTGGATTTTAATCAGACTAGGACTTTCTGATTTAAAACCATTTATATTTTCTAAGAGATTTATAAAACCTCAAAAAAATACCACTTCACTGAAAGAATAAATTTATTTTTTATATATTCAATTCAGTTTTATTTGAACTAAAACTTACTGTTACATAGTTGCTATGTTACAGCAAATTCCTCACTGCATGTACCTGGCTTGTATAAATTGGAAGAATTTTTAGGCCTCTGAAATTACATTTAACATTTTTAATTTTTTAACTGATAAGTTTAATATATGATTAAATTTCAAATATTTTAGAAGTGCCATTCATTTTTTGTTGTTGTTGCATGTTGTAAATTGAACCCTGTTTGGTCATATTAATGTTGGCTGTTAGTGCCTCTGGTCATTTGTTAAATATGGTGTTTTATTCTTGGGCAAAGGGCTTTTCATTTATGGGAGAATCAATCATTTCCCTCTCTGTATCTGCGGGATATTAAGTGAAGCAGTTGGTAACAGTTAAATTACCTTAATTGTGTACTAGCGTTTTTCCGTTATAGTTTTTTCAATCACATCCTTTAATAGTATAATCTATTTTAAGAGTTCTTTAAAGGTTATTCTACTATCATAGGATATAAAATCGTAGAAGGGACTTACCTACTTAAATATACCAATGAATTTTAAAAAATGTAATTAAGAGAGGTATCTTGCTTGCAAGAGACTTAGTACTTGATAAATATTTTAAAAATAATTTTTATCTGATTGTTAGTCCTGGGGTTTTGTTTGCTTTGTTAAATGTATTAACTAGCTTCCTGATTATATCTGTTTTGAGTAGAATATGTAACTTGAAATGTTTAAACTTGATTTTTTGAAAGACTTCAATGAGAAAATTTATTATGACTGGGAATATTGTTTGAAGGATAGCTCTTTAATGCTCTTGCTTTCTGTGTTTTTGTGATGGTTTTGTTTTGTCATGCAAGATTCTATTACTAATTTTAGAAAAGCATTAACTCTTAGTCAACTTTTAAATTTATACACGGTTATACATAATTTTTTTTCCTTCAGGAACCAGTGTTGTAAAAACTGTTGTGTATGCTTATTAATATTCATAGATATGTATGGTTTATTTTCAGTTAGAATTTTTCAGTACATATTTTTTTAAATCCCAGGATACATTCTACTTATAACCTGGGATTTAAATGACAGATTATATGGCAGAAAATTTCACTTTCTCAATTTTTCCTTCATTCAGAAAAAAAAATTAAGACTATTTATTTTCATTATTTTAATTATAACTTAACTAACTTGGGTATAATAGAGCTAATATTTATGGGATTGTTGTACAAAGTTATGCACCAAGTACCCAAGGCTGTTCGTGACTGTTTTTATGTTATTTCTCATCCACGTCTTTCTGCTTCTCCCAACTGCTTGGTAATATCAATTACATCATTCAAAATAGGGTTTACACTCATCGTTGTTCACTACTATCCATTCACTTGTTTTATTTCTCCATATACCACAGATGAAATCATTGAATGATTTTCCTTCCTCTGACTAGTTTTGCTTACCACTAATACCCTCCAGTTCCAGCCAAGTTCAGTGAACTATGAAATTTCATCTTCTTATGGAGGCATTGTTTGTTGTTGTAAAAATACATGGCAGTTTCTATACCTGTTCATCTCTTATTCCACTTCTGTCTATTCTACTAAGTGCCGCAGTGAACAGAAGAGTGTATGCATACTTTTGAATTAGTATTTTGTGGTTAGAGGTCAAAATATACTCACTTTAAGACTACTCCATTTTAGACAAAAAGGTTTTGCAGTGTAAAAAGTAATAAAGTGACATTCACTTAGCTCCCTGTGTTAACTCCTAGTTTTATAATAAAGTGTAGCATCAAATATATTAGTAAAACATAGAGAATGTCAGGGAGACATTGAAAGGAGCTTACAGTTCTCTATCTTTAAAGACCTACCCCTCTCTCTCTCTCAAGGTTGACATTTTTCATATTGACTGCTCACGTTCTCAAAATTACTAGCAGTTTTAATCCTGTTTTCCCTTAGCTAGTAAGCCTTCAGTAATGTTATTGATAGGTTCCTTGTGGTGGTTGGGGAGTGCCCTGGTGCTCAGGGGAATTATAGGATGTAGGTGATTAAACTAGGGCTTTCATATGCAAAGCCTGTGCTTCAGCCCTTTGAGCAAGCTTCCTGCCCGCCTCTCTGAGCATTCTAAACTCAGTCTGTTCCCAATATCTAATACTAACCTTGTTCTGAAGTTCCTGAAACTTCCTAAGAGGATTCTTCTCCCTCAATCTGAAACCAATTATAGCTCCAGTTTAGACGCTTAAGTGGTGCCCTAACATGGAAAGACATAAGAAATATCCCTGTGGGAAGGATGATCTCACTTCTCTGTGATATACAAAGGAATAAAATTCAGGAACTAAAAGTATCTAAGGGATAACAAACCCTTCACCTTGGACTGCAAAACCGAGGTGACCCCACACTGGGAAATGAGTGGCAGGGGATTAAGATAGGAACTAGCAGTTAGGGACAGTGGTGAGGCGTCATAAGTGTGAATAATACTGTCACCATATTACCTAAACTATGTTTTACAGTGTGTAAAAAGAAAGCATTAACCTGTGAAAGAAACTGAATAAGGCTGAAGGGTAGGTTGCCTCTGAAATATTATTATTCCTTAAGTTCCCTAATTTGACGTGAACTGCTTCAGACACTTATGCTACTGGGAGCCATGTGTTACCACCGGATGTGCTGCCTGAGCAGAAGTGTCGCCTGCTTACATGCGTGTCAGCCCATGCACTTGCTCCTCACATGCAATGGCACCTCCTTCCCCCATCTTGACATGTGTACTCTCTTAGAGCCTTCCTACTGCAATGCGGGCATGCGGATGCTACTGGGATTCCCTCTCCACTCTGGAGATAACCTGGTTCCCTCAAGCACATCACTTTCTCTCCTTCCCCGTCTCTGTTGCCTCTTGTGCTCACTCTCCCCGACCCCCTCGCTCCCCTTTCTCAGGTTCTCTAAATAAAACCTGGTTTTACTTCCAAGAGAAAAAGAGAAAGAAATTAACTGCTTTGATTAGTGTCACGTTGGAACAGGGCTGATGTACGTTAACCAATCACTTTTGAACAATCAAGTCTGAGCCCAAGCCTGGAAAATCAGTCCCCACCATTTGTTCCTTTAATTGTTCAACAATACAGTCATGGTAACAGTAATTATTTTTCTAAAGTAGTTTGCAGTTGCAATGCTCTAGGCAATGTGCCAGCCCTTTATAAATGTATATTTCTTATTCAGTGCTCTTAAACAATGTTGGTGAGCCCGTTACTTTAGCTCCCTGTTTTACAGATGAGGAGACTGCATTTAAGTAATATCTCTTATGGATTACACAGCAAGCAGATTTATATCGAGGTGGTCTAACTAGTTTATCATTTTCCACAATGTGTTTCAAAGATCAGTAACTAATATTTGTAATTTTCATAATTCCTTTCAAAAAGAATATTAAATGTTTTTGTCTGCTCATATAAAATTTTCTGGAAAAATCATGGTCCAGATATGACATTGTTTGATAGATTTTGAAACTAAATGGTCCATCTTTTCAAAAAATTATTTTATTCTACTTCATGATGAAACTATATTCTTAGCTGGATAAAATAATCTACAATTTCATGCATGTCCAATTTTAATTATTAAATTTTATGTAGAAGTAATTACTAAATTGGTTATGGAAAACTATGAGTGATATGTAATAATATTGGAAGTTTAAGTATAAACATTCAAAAGTATGGTGATCTTATGAGTATTCTTCCAAGACATAGAAATAATTGCTCTGTATAATGGAGATCTCATTTTTCTAGGCACTTTATAGTTTTCTTATGGAATTTGTTAACACAGGACCTTTTTCATTTGTCAGCTTTTGAGTTTGCAGTTACTTCATAGTTAATTGCCATTTTATAGTAAAAGCTAAAGTGACTTTGGAAATGAATTTCAATTGAAATAGTTTGTCCATTAATTCAGATGCAGTTCTTTAGCTCTGATAGGTGAGTCATATTCATTTTCTTCATATGTGAGCACCAATTTTCTTTTTTTAAGTTAAAATGTTCTAAGAGAGCTTCAGGCTATTCTATTATTATATTCTAAATCACCAGAGCACTAGATCATATAATTTTAAGGCAAT